TTTATTAAGTGCCTGGCACTTTCACGGAGCTCGTTTTACCTAATTCCAGCATCTACCCAAAGGTGGGTGTTATCACTAATCCTATAATTCAGATGGTTGAATTTCAGCCCAGAGGCTTTAAATACCTAATTGAGACACTCAGCTTCTACGAGGAGCTTTCAGGAATTTACTGTGACTTTTGGGACTCCAAGTTCAGTGCTTTTTTTTCCCACTATGCCAGAACTATTGACTGTGAAGGATTATGTTCACGGTTTGACGCTTTCACCTTTTACATACTGCACTGTACGTGGAGTATACACAATAAATACGTGTATGAAATAGGGCATGAATTCTATTACAATGGTCCTGAATAACGCATTTCATATACCTGTATTTGGCAACATTGTCCAGAATTTTCATATGCACATGCATTTTTCATACACAGGAAACTGGTTAGGCATAGACCAGCAAGGTGGAGAGCCAGGAGTGAGCCCTCAGACAGGTCAGCAACATATGCACTTACACAAGGGCTTGTTTGCATTCTGAAAACATGCCTACTCAGATTGGAGCTGGTTACAAAGGACACGTGGGAAACAAAAATATTCAGTTTCCCAATCATGATCAAAATCACCCTTGAAATCATAATAGAAACATCACATTTGTTTAAATTTCGAGGGTTTAAAAAAATTATCAACATGTAGAGGGAATTATCTAACAAACATTTATGTACCCAACACTTAGAAATAAAAATTGTCCACATTTTGTCATATTTCTTTCAAGATTTTTTTTTCAAAAAATAAAATTTTCTAATGTTCTGTAATGTTGAAATTTCTTTTGTCTTCCATGCCTGATTCACCTCCTCTCCTCCTCATTCTGGTGAACATGATTAAAGGTCTGGATTCCAATTATTTATACATGCACATGAACACATGTTTTCACAAGCAATTTATGCTATTTTTATATGTTCATTATAAAATATACATAATGGTATCATACTACTTATTCTGCAGATTCCTTTTTTTAAAAAAAAAAAAACCTATGTTTTTGAGCTCTATGTTAAAATATAAAAATCTAATCAATTTCTTTTATTAGCTATGTAGCATTTTGCCATATGAATAAAATAATTTCTTATGCCTTCTCTTATACCTGTTGATGGACATTAAGATTGCTATAGACAATACCACAATAAACATGCTTTTACAAGTTTCTGGTTGTCATACACACGTTCAAATTTTACTAAGGTGTTTGTTTACCTAGAAGTTTAATTTCTGGGTGGCATACTAAGTGCATGTTTAATTTTAGTGAATATTGACAAATTAATCTCTGAAACGATGGTACTAATTTACCTTCTCACTAGCAATGCATTTGATTGCTTGCTTCTCCATACGTTTTTCAATACTGGATATTGTCAGACTTTTAAATCTTTGGTAACCTAATAGATAAGCAAAGGTATCTTCTCATTTCACTTTGTATTTCCCTGATTTACTGGTGTAATCTGCATCTTTTTGTATTTACTGGTTGTCCAGGTTTTCTTTTTGTGAATTACCTGGCCATGCACTTTGCCAATTTTTTTTCCCTATTGGGTTATTTGTGGGGATTTTTTTCTTACTAATTTATAAGAAAAATTTATTTTGAATATGATCCATTTTACTGCTATTTGACTGTTGTAAATGTTTTTACTTAATCACTGTCAAGTTTATAGTTTCATACTTTTTTTCTTTAGAAAGGGTATACAAGGTCGGTTCCAAATGTGTAAAAGGCTTTATTCTATTTTAATCCAATGCAAGATGGCATACATAGTCTCTGCAATTGGATGAATAGCTGTAAACAGATTTTGAAGGTCTAAAACTCTTCTATGAAGGTCTGTGTTGAGAAATGTTACGTTTATGAATATTGATGAATGCTGAGTGTATGACAATATATTGTTTGCTAGGAAGAACGATGGCAAGGAAAACCTAGGTGGCACGACAACCCCCCCAAGTAGAAAACTACCTGGGGCATTCCAAAGTGGCACCACAACGTATAAATATCATACACCGCTTAAAACAATTATTTGAGATTATCTGACCCTGCCCCTGTGGAGAATACCTTTTAGCTTGTTTGTAATCAGTGGTAAGTGGGCGACAGCAGCCCACTTGGGAGATGTCTGTATTATGAGAAAATACAGAACACCTGTTTGTTAATAATCACCTGTTCAGAGAAAATAAATATGTGGATTAGCATCTGCTTTGGGCCTTCAGCCTGAAATATGGTCAGTCTGAGAGGCTCTCAGTTTGTGAAGGCTGTTGACCCCCCCCCCCCAAATAGAGCCCACTTTGCTGTTCTATCTGGAAGCCTGTCTCTCAATTCCTTCAGCTCTGCCCGGGTGGGGGTCTCTATAGCCTAGCTGGTTCTCTATAGGTTTTCAAATTTCTTCTCTAAAGCTGAGAAGTAGCACTCTTTTAACTTCTTGGGGTTAGAGAGAGGCTAACACAATTCTGTAGGCTGATGGGCAAAAGAAGAGGAAAAGGACTTTACTTTTAGAAACCAGTGACTGAGCAGAGTCTACTCTTCTCACAACCTCGAAGCAGTTTGGAAGTACTTTCTAAATTTTTCACTTAGCGATCATCGTTCAGGCATCTCAGATTTAAGAGTTTTAAATTTGACTACGTTGAGTCTTTCTACTTCTCCCTTCACTAAAAGCAGGGTTTAATTATCTAACCATGTTTAGAGCCGTCTAGGGAGTTTTTACCCTTATGCCTTCATCCTGATTGGATAATGGTGTGCAAGAACTGTCTGGGGGCGATAGAAACACAAATATGGGGCAAATACCTTGGGTTTCTACATAGTTACAAACATACTGGACTCTAAACTCTATGAGGTAAGGGCCTCATATCCTATCCACAATGATTATATCTTCAGTATTTGGCTCAGTTGATAATCCTGGTTAGTGAGAATCTGCTGAACATTCTCAATCCACAACTATTATGGGATCCCACGGCTGTGTTAGACTATACTCTATGTGGTTCATGCAATCAAAGTTAGCAAAATAGACGTGAGCCCCTGCCCTTATGAACCTCACATTCTAGTGGCAGGAAATACTATGATGCTGACGAGAAGTGAGATGAAGAAAAATGCAGTGATGCACACCCGTCTCTTTGGGATATGCTTGGGGGGCATGTGTTGGGGGGAAGAAGTGGAGGTTCTATTGTAGAAAATACGGCCTGAGACTTGAAGAGTCATGATTTGATAGACGAAGATAGAGAAAGCCAGCGTCAAGGCTCCAAAAACAATCACTTCCATTTTGGGAGGAATTTCAACTCTTTGTATTTTGATTTGGGGCAAAAAAAAAAAAAAAAAAAGTCTTGAGGGGGAGAAAAAGTGACTAAAGCTCTTATTTTAGTTGAGAAGGAGCTAATGAATTTGTAAAACATGCTCCCTTTTGTGGGGGAGGAATACAATAGTTCGCAGGTTGGGAGAACAGCTGCCTCCAATTCGGCTTGGTGGTGGGCTTCAGCTGAACTGGCAATCTCTTAAGTGTTTTCTGTGTTTCTGACTACCTACCTCTCCAGGAGCCCAGCTGAGCAAGATAGTTCATGAAGCTGGTTCAATGCTCCCATCCTGCAGGCAGCTACAAACTGTGGCTTACTGGATGATTTAACAAAAAAATGAGAATTGTAAAGCGCAGCCCCGAGTTCATGTGTAGAAACTGCCATCTGCACAATCAAAATATTCAGATGACTAAGATTTTAAAGATATTAACACAGACTTCCTTCTTGCTTCGTTTATTTAAAAAAAAAAAATCTTTCATGTTCCTAACAGCATCTAGTAGATATTTCCTCCCCCTAACGCTGGACTAAAAACCGCTGTTTTCTGGTCTGGCTTTGTTTTTGTAGCCAAGTACTTAAATTACGGGTGTTTCATAAGTATCTTTCGATGGATTTCCTTGTTTCGTTTATTTTGCTTTAAGCAATACAGACACCTTCAGATTTTTCTATAACCAATCTTTTTCAAAGTCTTCATTTGAGGTGGTTGATGGAGCTTGTCTGCAGATCTTGGGTACTGGTTTTTGCACTGACTTTAGCTTCGACACACAAAACTTGGTCTCCTCGAGGAACCAATTTTTTAAGCTAAGAACAAATGAAAGTGTTCATCTTTCGAAAAATATCTATATACTTGGGATCCAGAATGTGACAACGGTTTTATACGCTCACAGGTTTTTTTCCTAAATGTCTGGGGGATTACTTCATCTAACGTCTTATTTTCCTGACTTACTCGTCTTTAATAAGCTACAGAAAACCCCTCTTGCCCAGTGACTGTCTTCTCTCAAGATCATCTAAGAATAGAGGCCTTGACTTTTGACGGTCCTTTTAGTTTTATTCTCCCGTTACTCTTCTCTGTACACTCACAGCCGAGGCAGCCGGCGTCTGGGCTGAAAGAACCCTTGGCGGGCGAGGAGATGAGGGTGTCATGTTGGCGACAGGCTCCTGCTGGCGGCCGGCGAGCCCGCCGGGTTAACGGGGGCTCCGGGGTCAGCGCCCTCGAAGTTGGGGGCCTCGGGCGGGGCCGCACGGGAGCCGCGGCTGTCGCTCGACCAGAGCATCCCGTAGTCCCGTTCCCTCCAAAGGGTAAGAATCGCCGAATCTGGCGCGATCCCACGGAGATACTGCTCTTGGCGGTGCTGTCTCCGCTACTGAGCGCGGGACCAAGGCAGGCGAAGTCGGGCGGGCGACAGGGAAAGCCCAGACCTGGGGCAGGGAAGGAATGAGGGGCCGGGAGCCGGGGGGATTTCCTCCCGCTCTTCCCTCTCCAACGGGAGCGGAAAATGTGATTTGCTGTGCATTCCAGGCGCGGTTCCCTGGGGTGACCTCTCCAAGCCGTCACGGGCGGAGGGAGCAGACAAAGAGGCGAGGCGGACGGAGAGGGGACCCCGCAGGGAAGCATAAGGAGTGCGGGGGGCGGGGGCAGTACCGGGAAAGGGGGCGGATAGCTGGTCTGGCGGCGGCGGCGGCGGCGCCTGGCCAATGGAGAGGAGCGGCCCCGGGCGCCGCGTTCGGCCGCCGGCATTTAAACGGGAGACTGCGCAATGCCTGACACTTGGTGCGCCCTCCGCGGACCGGGCGACCCAGTGCACCGCCGCAGCGTTACTCTCGGTCCGGCCGAGCCCGGGCGGCTCTGGCCGCGGCAGCACTCAGCGCCACGCGTCGAAAGCGCAGGCCCCGAGGACCTGCTGCACTGACAGGTGAGCGCGGACGCACCTGGCAAGGAGTGTGAGTGTGGTGGGAGGAAGAGGGCGGCCAACGAACCCCAGGGACCCACTCGGTTCTATGCGCGGCAGCCCTCTGCGCGCACAGGCCCGGGTGCGCTGTTCGCGGTGTTGAATCGTGCAAAACCATCGTGGGGTCCTTCTGCTGAGATCGCGGACACCATGATCTCGCTGCTCTGGGTCCGCTGGGAAGCGTAGGAAAAGGTTGTCAAGAGCGGGCAGGATGACTCCAGCTCCCGGAGCCCCCCGAACACTCTCCTGATGCTCGTGGCAGCAGCGCCTGGCACACGCGCCTGCATAGCGAGGGCGCGCAGTCCCGGCCGCTGACAAGGCGGCAAGTTGCCTTGAGAGGGTCCCATGGGCGTGAGGCGCTGCGCTGGGTCTGGGGGGGTCTTGGGACACCCATTGGAGTCCGCGGGCTGGAGCATCTGGAGAATACGCAATGTGTGCATCTGCCCATCCCCGATGTGAGATGGAGTCTGGCATAAGCAGAGCCGCTGTGTTCAGCCACAGCGGAAAATCGAACCTTGGGTAACCCGACAGCCGGGGTGCGGGGCGTGGCCCTGGCCGCAGGGTCCAGAGAACCAGCAGTGTCACATGGCGCACACCAACCGCTCGCGGACCGGCCGCGCAGTCGCGGGTGCTCGCTTCTCTACTCGAGCCTCTTCCCGGCCCCACGCACCCCCGGGCTGAATGGTAGACGTTCTGGCGCCCGGCAGCGGCCACCAGCTGGTTCCCACTTCTGCGCGCATCCCTTAAACTGTGTCCTAGAGGCCCCGACCTTGCCGCGCCTCGCTGCACCTCACTAGCTCCTGACGACAAGGGACTGGAGGCGGAGAAGGGTTGGCGGCTCCAAGGAGCTGAGGTCTGTGGTTCTCGCTAGCCTCCTGGCTCAATCCGCTGGTCCCTCCACAGCGTGCGGTGCCAGGGCACAGTAGGGGGAGTGGGAGGTACATTGGGGCTGTCACCTCCTTGCTGGCTGGAGTTATTTGTAGACTATAGGCTCCGGCAGAACAGACGCGCCACCGCTCTCACTTGGCATTGTCTTCAGATCGCATCTCTTCCTTGGGGGCGCCCCAGCTGGGGATTTATTTGCTTGCGCCAGACTCTGGCGACGGACCCCGGCCCAGGCAGGGAGGGATGGGTGGCAGGTGACCAGACTCTGCTGTGAATAAACTCCCACGTCTGTCCCCAGAGCTGTCCCTAATGCGCTCCCGGGTCGAACCCTTCTACTGCCTTCCCCTCCTCGACCGACTGGAATCCTGTCTCTTATAGACAGAAATATAGCCTCAGCATTAGGGGCTGAAAATCTCCTCTTAAATGGTCCGAGGGCAGAGAGGTGACCACCGATAGGTAATTGGATATCCTGCTGGAAAGAGCAAATCTGGGCGGTGTGCACGTCTGTTTATGTTCCCCTTCGAGATGGTGCCAGGACACGAACTGATTAAAACAATCTATTGTGTTAAGTGGTTCACTAGGGTTTTAAGCTGTCCCAGGGACCCCAGAGTAGTGGCTTCCTTCTGGCTGTACACACAAGTTAAATAAATAGCGCAGAAGAGGTTAAGATAACCCCATCCTAGGGTGAGGAGTCCTCTTTCATCCCTAGGGCTTCCCCCTCCTCTTTTTTTTTTTTTTTTCTTTCTGGAAGGAGGGGGGAGCATGAAAGTTTGGGGGGGGGGATGTACTTTTCAAAGCGAGGAGGGAAAGATCTTAAGAAAACTGTAGATTCTTACTGCCCCTTCAAGTCAAGCCTACAACAGTAGGTGATTTGATTACTATCTCTGGATAAATTGCACTGTCAACTTGTTAATATTAACTATTTAAGGGATTTTTATCGGGATAGTGGCAGTGTTGTGTGTGTCTGTGTGTTTAACCCCCAGGTCATTGTAGGAATTAGTCTTTTGTAAACTGTAATTTCACAGGTTTCCTATTTTCTTAAAAGTTCATTTTTAGTGAAATGTTTTGGTAACCCACGCTCTGTAGGAAATCCAGGTTGACTAATGTGCTTTTTATGTGAGTAGTTACACAGAGAAGAATACAAACCTATTATGTCCCCACATCTCTGAATGAGGGCTGCCTACCCTGTCTTTGAAACTAAGCCAATGATGTCTTCAGTCTTAATGGTCAAGTATTAAAAGTGATAAAATTCAAAGAAATTTCATGCCACAGACACCTCCCCCGAAGAACTGCTTGTTGACAGCAAAGCTGTGGGGCATATTCCAAAACAGTAAAGGACAGCCAGGAAACCTAAACGTTTCCTGTAAAGAAAAGCGGGTTTGGCGGACAGTGGTTAGGGGAGGTAACTGCAGCCTCCATCCAAAAAGCAACGATTAGGCAAGTGCTACCAGCCTGTCTTACATCTGCAAAGAATCTTTAGTTTTAACATATGCTTAGAAATTCAAAGTACAATGAATTCATTCTTGGGACAAGAGAAATCTTCACATCTGAACATGAAGATATGAAATAGACAATTCTATTTGTAATCTTCAATTTGTATTAGAAAACATATCCGTTGTTCCACTGTTAAGGACAGCACTGGGTTTCAATAGGACAGTGGTTAAGGACCTGTACTTAGGGCCAGATGGAATTGGGTTTAAACTGCTGGCTCTCCAGCTTATGAGCTGTGTGACCTTGGCCAGATTGCTAACTTATCTGAGTATAGATTCCATGACTGGTAAAAGATATAATGTTTTCTACCTCATTACGAAAATTAAATGATAAAATTGGGTCAGAATTCAGCATAATGCCTGGCACAGTAAGGGCTTCAAAATGAAAGATAACTCTCATTAGTAATGGTGTTAGGAAAAGTAGTCATGTTACACAGAAGCAGGATAATATCTCAGGGTAGTTCCAAAATAAAATCCTGAATCCTGCATTATGCAGTGACTGACGCATCCTTCACTACGGAACAGAATCTATAACTTGACCGTGTCTCAGTAGTGCTGCTCAGTGAACATTTAGTATTTACTGCTTTCTAACTCGGCTGACCTCAAGAATTGTATATAGTCATTAACATTCCTAAGAACTTTGCAAACAGAGCTCCTGAGATATTTCACATCCAAGTGGTCTCCCTGTCCAATGCAATGTTGGGCCCCAGCCAGATTTAGCTGACCTGGTCTTCAGACTCTCTAGTCTTCAGACTCTAGTCTCTGTTTAGGGTTTTTACAACACAAAGGGGATGAGACTTTATCTTCTCTGTGTGCCAATTGGGAACTCTTAATATCTCCTTGGTGCAACTTGTCTGAAAAAAAAATCAACAATTGTCTTTAAAAATTAGAGATCAAATTAAAAATAAGTTATACTTTTCCCAAAGATTTAGACCTGAGAAAAGAATAGATTTTTCTAAAACCTGACCTACAACTAGAGGAGCATTTGCAGTCACTTCCACTATTTCTTATGCTGGGAGAATAATTTGATGCCATGCCTAGAAAGACATTCAATAACGCTTGATTCATCAGGAGGTCATTGACCAGAAGTCCAGGAACAGATATCTGGCTTTCACTGTAATTCCTACTTAAAACTCCCTTTCACTGATTGAGGAGGTTGCTTAGCTAAAATGAGAAATACAGCAAGAGTGATAGAAGGAGCTTGGATTAAACTTTCCCAAAAACATCATGGACACTGGAAACGGGCCATACAGATACCATTTTTGAGTCCTGAGCATTAAAATATTGTGTTCCTAGAGGCTTTGTAAAAACTGGAATAGATGCCATGACCTGCACAGCATAGAGGTGGTTAATGTGGCTTATCTTGCCTTGTGGTTGTTTACTCTTGATCCGTGAGGGAAACTGAAAGGAAAGTGTATCGTAGGGAGGACCTGCTTTCAGAGTATGTGTCCTTTGGGACAAGTGAAACGAAAGAGGATACAGGCAAAGAGGGGGGGAAAAAAGTGGAAATGGGGTGAGACTTGCTGATGGAGAACAGTTGCAAAGAAAACTCATAAGATCACATTTCTTGAAGCTGAACTGCATTGATGGGAAGCGGAGGCAGAGTTCGAAAAGGAGATACACTGCAAAAAAGACTCAAAGGAGATGTTAGGTATCTTGATGCACCCTGGGTCTATGAGATGCAGCTTAATTTAATGACATAAATAGGCCATTTCATAAGTGGAAATTACCATACAATCTTTGCAGCTAATGACTGGGTATGATGTCATAGGAACCTAAGTCTGGACGAGCTATGGATTGAATTTCTACTATGAGACACCCTGCTACATGTTGTGGAAAAGAATTGTCCTCAAGAAATGTACATGTTCTGCATTCCTCTACATCTGATATTTACAAAGTGCACATTATTTGGTGACAATACAATCGGGATTTCAAGTGCACATCATTCCTCTATCACTGAAGAATCAAGAGCAGTTCGTGGTTGGGGAGAGCTTGGATGATTGACCAGGATGTGGCAGAGCCTTGGTTCCACTATGAATTACAGTTCTTAACCCACTGGCCGTCACTCACATAGAGCAGCTAGTGTGCCTCAGAGCACTGCTGTTAAGAAGCTTGAGGTCTCAATTGACATACTTTAAGTTGGTGTTTACTTCTCTGAATAAACAAAGGTTGACAACTCGAACATCTTCCAATAAGTACTAAAGATTTTTGAAGAATAGGCTTTTAAAAAACGAATAACCATTTCACTTTCCATAGCTAATAAATCTTATTTTGAGAAAAAGAAAGCCTGTTACTCCAGACCCTTTGGCTTAGAAGGTAGACATACTCCCATAGGAACAAAGTCTGTCCAAATTAAAACTGAAAACCACAGTTGACTAACTTTGAATTTACAGCTCTGCTGTTGGCTTCTGCCATAGTATTAATTTCAATGGCTTCAATTAGAAAATGAAACCCATAGGATTCCATATGAGAACTGGTAAATTGTCAGGAACATTTGGAATTCCTAAAGACAAGTCTTGGGAAGCTCTCTAGGATGGAAGGAATTTGTCACTCAGAGTCGGACATCCAAAGGATTGCAATTGCCTCTTC